TATTATTTATAATATAATTATAATTATAATATATATTATTTATAATATAATTATAATTATAATGAATAAGTTTGTAATTTTAATTCATAAGGAGTAAAAAAAAATACTATATTGTATTTTTGCATATGATATGTTATTGAAAATAACTATATCATATTATAATCACAGAAATTAATTTCTTGTATGAAATTTATAATTCTTAATCATTTGAATAATTATTACTTATTATTAATTATTTATGTATGTACATTCATTATAAAATAAAAATTAGAATTATAGAATTTGGTAACTAATGACAAAAATTTAATTTAAATTTTATTTTCTTAAAATAAAATATTCATATTTTATAAAATATGAAACATCTTTTATATAAATTTTTAAAAATTTAAAAATTTTTTTTAAATATATTATATTATTTTTCAATGTTATATTAACAGCTTTTATCCAAGTTCACACCGAAAAAAAAAGTGAGTGAAAGATCCCAATTTCAATTGAAAGGATTTCGAATCTTGATAGAAGAACATTCAATTCAAATAAAATAAGTGGTTCACGTTATATATTGCCTCGAATTGAAATTGCTTGAATTCAAATACTGAACGATGCTTAAACTATGAACAAAACATTTAAAAATTGTTTATAAGAAGATAAAGAATCATCAATACAAAAGCTGACATTTATACAAAATCCTTTTAAAACTTTTAATGCGTATTTTCCGCCATTCGGAAAAACGAACAAAGAAGCGTTTACCGTGGCATTGATTCGCTATTATCTTCTTTTTATTCAAATGAATTACTACTATATAGAATGAAAACAGAAGGAGTCAATAGCAGATCGTATCCATATATATTTTTCCTTCAACAGTGAAATAAAATTCCAAGCATACAATTCAGAAAGTAATAATTATTTTTCTATCATTAAAATTTTTGAAACTTTTAGATGCAAAAAGTATAAGATATTGATATATTCGAGACTCAAAATCGAAAAGTTGATTCTAAAAATCAAAATAAATCCAATTTGTTATATAAAAATGTTCACTTGAGAATAAAATTATCTATTTTAAAGAGTATTTATAGTGAATGGATACGTGTTGAAAATGGATATGTAGCAGTATAACTATTCAGTTTGCAATTCGAAGCAGTTTCGAGAATTATAATATTTTGAGAGTAAGTATGAAAAGACAAAACACGACATAGAATATTTGGAATAAAAATGAGATAGCAATGAACAAACGACAGAAAGTATAAACACAAACTTATTTCCATTAGACACAATTCTCAGAATCAGTTATGGAAATAAAAATTTCAATATTTATTCAATATTACTTAGTTTATAAAACAAAACGTAAAACTTTTTTCTCAATTTCTCATTTATTCAACTTTTACTCTCAAGTAGAAACATACATCTTTGAAATACAAATTCATTCACTCTATTTTTTAATAAACTGAACATTGAATTGAAATGTAACTGATCAATAGCAACTTTTATTCTCAATGTAACATCCACTTATAAAATACTCTCAAATCAATTTTCTACCCTTAAATTTCTTAAAAATTATATAAGTTTTATTATTTTTAATTTTATAAATTAAATTATATAAGTTTTAGTGTTTAAGTTTAATTCAAGTTTAAGATAGTTAGTGTTCAAGTTTTTCACATTTGATGGATAATTCGGAGAAAGTTAAGAGCGACAGTTCGGGCATTGGTGTAAACTTATACAATGATATAACTTACTGAGATGCGGCGAGACAAGCGGACATCGCGGTATCACGGTATTGTTTGTCGAATTTGCGGTCAAAGATTCTTGGGAACTTCCAACGAAGTACGTGTTTCGAATGGAATCGTCAGCATCCAGCTTGGAGAAGTTGGAATTATCCTTACCACCCCAAAGCAGGGTGGCATTGTTGTTACCCAGTATGCTCGACACCGTTACAGGCCCGTATATGATCAATCCCCGTGGATGATGTCTGTAGGAACGATCCGCGTATCTGAAACAAAATGTTAGATTGTCCGATAATTTTTTCAAAAGATCAGAAAATATTCGATATTTTTCTCATTTACTTTTTTCGCGTGGCTTTCTCTTGATTTAATTTTGAAATATTTTCAATGTTTTTGATAGTCTTTGGAAGCTTCAACTTTGAAGGATTCTCGTTTTACGTCATCACAAACGGTTAATAAAACGAATTGTTCCCCATAAATTATTCGGAATCATCTGAAATAAATGAGAAAGATTCAGGAATTTGGATTTTTCATATTTTAAATATTATTAAGTTAATTAAGAAAATGTGTTATTATTCATATTTCATTTGTTATAATTATGTCAGCAATAACATTGTTCATTTTTGAGACAAAAATGATTTCAGAGAATCAATTAACCAATATCTATTGGATTAAATTATTCGATAAATGAATGGCCAATCAATATCATTTATATAGGTATATATAATGTTTTATTTATAACTTATAATTTTTATTAATTATTTATATTTACAGGTAAAATATAGATGTGTAGATATTCATATAACATTTCTTATTTTTTTAAAGAAGTCATATATACATAGAATGACTCATATATTTTCACATGGAATCAATATATTATATATATTATTTTTTAATATTAACGAAAAAAAATAAGAATATATAACAATTGAACGCGACAATATCGATATTCATTTGTTATAAAAAAAAATTTTTTTATAAAGAAATGTATTTTTTAAAATATCAGATATGTGAATAAATATATCATTATTTAGAATTTAAATACAACATGATATCATATGAAAATCATAAGAAATACTTTATAGATAATATTTTATTAATTTTTTTTTTTCATTTTTTTTCCAAGATTTTGTCTTTGTAAATAAATAATATTTATAAATTGAATACCGAAAATTAAATTAAATTTGTATTTACTTTTTATAACAAGTAAATATTTTTCTAATTTAAAAAATCAGCACACGAGCTTATTAATAGAATTATAACAATTCAAATTCAATAAATTGCATTCACTTGAAAACATGCACGATCTTTCGATACAAACTTCAGTATTATTTCACAATAAATTGGCAATAATTGCAGCCACAATATTGTCGAAACTCTTGCAACCAATCGATAATTCGATTCGATTCGATTTTGAAATAAAATTTTATAATTGGATACTTATTAATTGGATAATAATATCATGTTTAAATTATTGTCATTTATTGTTTAATTTAATTGTATATAAAAGATCCTAAAAAAATGTCTTGCATATTTAATAATTTATTTAATAATATTTAATAATATTTAAAAATTTAATTTGAGATATTTTTATTATTTTTATTATTTTATTTGTCAATCAATTAATCAAAATAAAATTTAACCTAATCCAAATTTCATATTTCATAGAGAAAATGAAAATTTTTAACACTAATAACGAAATAGAGATCATTTCATTCCTTCCATGCTATTAATAAATATTTAATAAATTTAATTATGATTTTGATCTTATTTAAATTCAATCAAGTTTGTAATGGAATTAAAAATATCCGCAAGATCTTTCACGTAACATTTCCTATAATACATAAATCACGTAATCGAGTACGATCAATTTTCAAGTACTTATATTATACACTGCAAAGTAAATGTATCTGCGTAAAATTTCATTTACGTAATTGAAAAATCAAAACAAATTATATTAAAAGTCAATCCTTTGACGACAAAATTCGAATCACGAGGGACCATAGCTGGATTAAAATCACGTTCACGATTGATTTTCGCATGGAACGAGCAAATTAGCAGTTGTTACCTATTGTAGCTAAGACTGTGTGAGCTAACAGATTAATTCCAGGTTAATAATGTTCTACAACCGACCAGGAAACCGATAGATCTTGCCTAATCGATAATTTTCTCGAGAAACTTGCTTCAAACTGTGACGCAATTGCGAGCCAAGATTTTCGAATCGATTCGAATTATTTTATACTGTTACAATTTAATAAGTTCGGACGAATTTAATAAGACACAAACGAGGCACTTCACAACTCGAATTTAAGCCGTTTAAAGCTTAAATTGTCTTGTTATAATTTTGTGTTCATAACGAACAATGATCATCCAGATTCTGCGTAAGAGTGAAACAATTAAAAGACATCTTAATTAAGTTTATATTTTTATTCCTGATTATTTTCTTAATGATTAATTAATGGAGAAAAGCAATATATATATATTTTTTAACAACTTATAGATAATAATTTACTATTGACAAGAATTAATAATAAAAATAATGTAGATAATTTCCTAGTTTGCAAAGGAATATATTATAAATTTATAAATTTGTATAATATTGTATAATAAATATATTTAATAATTGTATAATAAAAATATTTAATAATATTTAATATATTTAAATAATTAATAATATTTTAATATATATATTTATTATTAATATATATATATATTTTAATATAATAATTAATAATATTTTAATATATTTAAATAATTATATAATAACAAAAAACCAAAAAGTAATTCAAAGAAAGAAACAAAACAATAAGCTTTAAGTTTTTAGATTTTTAATTTTAATTTTTTGTATAAAGATTGTAAAGATTCTAATTATAGAATTTAATTATATTATGTATAAATAATACACAGGAGTGATAAGATATTTAAAACTAGATTATTTTGAATAATGACAAAAAATATCATTAAATTTGACATAAACACATAATTTGATATAAACAATTTTTTTGTGGATGTGCAGAGATCATATAAAGATCCATTTTTCTTTTTTTAAATGAAATGTTTTTTTTTATATACTATCTAATAGAGCTTTGAATTATAAATCATTTGTGCATCTTAAAACATTCTTTTGTAAAAAAACATATCATCATTTAAAAATAATGAAGTTTCATATGATGAAATTCTTTTCATATAATTTTTATCAAATTATGTGCTTCTTGATATTATGAAAATTTGGTTTGATATATTTTTTTCTTTTTTTTTCTACCAATATCAGCTAAGATATTTAAGCGATCTATTTTAAGTGATTCATCCTATATATATATATATATTTTAATATTATTTTATCATATCATAAACTAAACACCATTCAAAAACAAAAAAAGAATTATAGGCATGAAATAGATACAAAAAATATAAATTGTGTTGTAATAAAAGGTACCATAAGGTAATAAAGAGTTGACCAGCATTTTCACTTTGATTAATTTCAGAAATCTTGCCGAGGTCGTTGCTTCATTGCAAAATTGACTCAGATTTCGATTTGGAAATTGAAATTCAATCAATGATTAGTCTTGCGATTATAAGAATTCTTTGAATCGAGGCTGCAATATTTCGTATAACTGTTTCATAATTGTTCACAAAAATTTCAACGATTTCTCTAGAATGGATGTAATATCAAGAGTTTCATTGCGAACAAAAGACTTTTTTTTTTAATTTATGATTCATTCATGATGATTTGTTAATACTATGCATTTCCAATTCAATGAATTCACAATAATGGAAGCAACACATTTATGATCGATATTTTAGATTAAGGATAATATTAAATGCATAGAGCAAGCAATGAAGCAAATAATGAACGCTATATATATATGGATGTATATGAATATAGATGTATCTAAATCTATATGCATATATAGATATCTAGTCTACACTATACAATTAAAATATTATTATAGTAAATAATTTATGTGTTTTATTTTCAATGTGTATTTTAATTACAAAATTATAATTATCTATTTACTATTTTATTTAAAGTTCCTTTTTATTTTATTTTATTTTATAAAAAATTTTATCTGAACCAAAAATTCTGATTTTAATGAAAGTTTGCATATATGTATAACAGATTGTATATATATGTATAATAATAATTTTTTATCAATAGAAAAGAAGCGTCAAATCAAATTCCAAATTTTCAGTATTCTTTCAATCTTGTCTATAAAACATTTTTTAATAGCGTGGTAGAATAATAAAAATTAAATATCTTTTATTTGTTTATTTGAAAAAATTTATTTTATTTTGAGCGTTAATTTCTCCTTTTTCAAGTGATATTTTGCTAAATATAAAATATAAAAAAATTGTTTTATATATATCCATTATGCATTATATACTCTTAAAGTTTTATTACAAAATATTTTATTATAAAATAATAAATTGTTATAAAAAATTAAAAATGAATGCGTTTTTTTTAAAATACATAAATAATCTATTTGATTTACATTAATAAGATTTTCATACTTTCATACTTATATCCATTCATTGTCTTTGTCAATACATTTAAATTATATTGAATTCAAGATATATGGATCTATAATTTTTGCTATAATTTAGTCGAAATACTTCCATTGGAATTTAAACAGACTGTGATTACATGTAATGATATAACGACAGTAGATTATCAGACAAATATATACAAAATACTTAGTTTCATATATAAGAGCGAGAGAAAAAAAAAAATTAAATTTTAATTGGAAACGCAAAAAAACGAAACAATACGAATCAGCGATTCGTCATTGTCATTAAAAGAAAATCGCAACGCAATGGATGGAATAATTTCAACTCAATTTAAAAATAATTTGACAGTATTAAGTCATATTGACATTTTTTGCTAGCTTGTTCAGTCACGCGTAAGAAGTATATGAAATCGTCGAAGGATAATTATACGCGTATGTATGCGAAGTGATGCGTACAGGATGCGCGCGTGTTGCATTTGCAAACAGCTGTGTTGCTAGTTTCGATAACGCGCTCGAAAATTAACTCCTCAACTCGAAAAAATTACATATGAAGTAATAATAAAAATAATTTTTCGAACATGAATTTTATGATATTCAATGTGTTAACGTGTTCATGAAATATATCTTTCGAGAATCGAGGAGGATAAAGATCAAAACAAACAGAGAAGTTGATAAACAAAAATATCGATCGAGGCTTATTTTGTAAGTTATAAACATATTTGAAGTTTGCGTTAAAGGAAGTGAGATAGATAGAATAAAAT